AAAAAAAAAAAAAAAAAAAAAAAAAGGAAGAAAAAACAGTAAACAATCTGATGAACCAATATAAAGTTCACCCTGGAGAGGACAGATATGTAAGCATATTTTAGAATGATTTTTTAAAGTAAATCAAATAAACAAATGTTATTCATTAATCCAAGAGAATCATAGCTCTCCTAGCTTTTATGGCCAAATCAAAACTTGTACATTTGGTTAATAAGTTCCTAAATAGTTGTTAAAGATACACTGAAGGTGTTATAATTTTACAATAACCAAAGAAGCCTCAAATTAAGGTTCATGGGGGTAATGTTATTTACCTGTTTTTCAGACAATTCCATTAACAGTAAATTATCCCTACTTTTTTTATTTAAAGCTCATATTCACAAAAATTCTCTACTTGGTTAACATTTTTCCTTCCCAAATAAATGACTTATCCCTTGTCTTTATGGAATTCATTTCTTTCTGATAAATTTTAATTTTCATGATCATTTTTTTAAAATAAGACTACCTTCCACTTCACAGGTTAACTCTCCAGATCTAGCATGGGAAAACTTTAAAAGGTTCATTTTCTATTTCTGAGATGATCATATTTAACACTGGTTGTATGGCTGACTTCATTGTCTGCCTCCTCCCCTTTCACTTACCTGTTCAAACCTCAGGCAAGGTCACAAGGAAATAAGAATGTCTCTGCATGGTATGAAATTCAAGGTGTGTCCATGTCAAGCTCTGGTCATCTTTGGCTATAAGATGATGGCAATATAGAGTTCAAAGAATCTTCAGTGGTTATCCTGTAGAATCTCAAGAGCTGGATCAGTGTCCTTAATCCAGGATGTCAGTATTCATGTCACAAATAAAAGAGAGGAGCCACTTTAAATGGGTAGGCTCATGGGCCTGGTTGACTGTGATTATGAAACCTTCACACACGGAAAATATTTCTTCACCTAGAAAAACAAGTCTTCCAGGTCCAGGTGACATGACAGTAACCAAGCCTTTAAAAAAAGTTTGCAAGACTTCCCCTTATTCCAAAGTTGTACATATTATTGTAGAATAGGAAAAATAATTAAAAGCAAGTCCTTTCCATTATGTTATTTAAGCATTATAAAAAACCTAGAGGTAAATATTTTTACTGCCATTATACAGATTATAAAACTGAAACTCAGAGAACTTAAATTGCCAGACCTCACTCAGCTAGTAAGTGGTAGAGCTTGGACACAGATGCATGCAGCTTGATTCTAGAGTACAGGCGTGTAAGTCGTAGTCAGCAGTCTAAGGGCAATAATGGAGCAGCAAAGGGACAGTGCTCATGCTGTGTCTCTGTGACGATGATGGATTTTGGTTCCACTGCATCAAAAGGAGGTGGCTTCTTACTGCCCTTGATGTAACTCATAATACATGAATCTTTTAAGAAATAAGGTATTGTAATTTAAGTAATTACAATAACGAACATTAAAGAAAGTGAGATGGGGGGTCATCGGTGAAATTTTAGTAAGGCTCCTACCACATGTGAGGAAGCTGAGATCCACTCGCTTCTCACAGGCATTAGGAGAATAACCAGTCCAGAGAAGGGAACATCACATGAGGCTCTGAACAAAGAGCTGCAATGTTACTTTAATAAAACCTGAAACAAAACTCTACTGAGGTCACTTCCTCAATGAAGCTCTTGGGTTTAGAAAAAAAAAAAAATGGGAGTAGTCCAACTTCAATCCCCTGAGGCAGAAAATAAGATTAACGTTATCAAATTAAAATGGAGAAAGCAGGATGTAAACTCTGAAAGCTAAAGACAGATGGACAAGGAACCCGAGATAACAGTGAGGCAGGAAAATTCCGGAAGCCAAGAAATTTTGAGAAGCAGGGGAAATAGGTAAACTGTCTACAATAATTCTGTAGGAAAACGAGCTCAATGATGGCCCACTGCAAGCAGTGACTGTACTGGTGGAATTATTTTCATTCTCCATTGAGAAGATGTTGCTGTTCTGATACCTACCCAGAAGAATTCTCTCCAAGCCCATTCTGAGAATGCAAAGAATCCACTAAAGACCCAGGGGATGGGACCCATATAAACTACTAGCCTAAAGGAATCGACAGTCATTGAGAAAGAATGAAGCCAGAAAACATTAGGAGACTGGAAATGCAGGAAACGTGTTCTACTTCTCAAAAGGACTGGAGGGTGAATTTCACAAAGGGTAGAGAGCTCTTGGTCGTGGCATCTCACAAAACTATAAAATATAACTTGTAGGATGTGGTTTGCACTTGGAAAATATATATCTCTGGCCCTAAATATACTGTATACCTAGGGTTTCACTAGGAACAAATCAAATGCTGCCTGCCTCATTTCCTTTCTGATAAATGAATAAAATAGGGAACAAAGACACAGTGTATCTTCCATTTCAATAAGGGATTTAACGAACTGTAAAGTCCTATGACCAGATAGATCTAAATGTCCCAGAAACAACCACACACTAAAGGATTAAGTGGTCCTCTGATCAACAATAGATCATGTCCTACAGATGGCCAAAAGACATCTGAAAAATGTTCAACTTCACTAATCATCAGAGAGATGCAAGTTAAAACCACAATGAAGTATCCCTTCACACCTGTCAGAATGGCTCCATCAACAAAGGACAGTTTCTGACGAGGGTGTGGAGAAAGGGGAGCCCTGGTACACTGCTGGTAGGAATGCAGACTGGGGCAGCCACTATGGAAAGCAGTATGGAGTCTCCTCAAATAATTAAAAATGGAGCTGCCATTTGACCCAGTGATCCCACTTCTAGGAATATACCTTAAGAATCCTGAAACACTAATAAGAAAAAAATATATGCACCCCTATGTTCATA